TGTTGTTGTGCTGCGTGCGGCGTGCGTGCGTGCTGCGTGCGTGTCGTCGTGCGTGCGTGCGACGGCTGCGTGCGAGCGTTCCGTGCGTGCGGCCGTTGCCGTGCGTCTGCGTGCGTGCGTGCGGTCCGCGCGCACGCGCGCTGCCGGCGCGCTGTTGTGTGTGGGGGTGTGTGGTGTGGTGTGTGTGTGTGTCGCGCGTGGGTGTGGGTTTTAACAAAAAGAGGGCGGACTGCGCCCGGAATTTGCCGAATGCCGAATCAGAGCGCCAATTGCGGCGAACAATAAGCTGACGATGCAAAATCTTCGTGCTCCGCGGCATACGGCAGACAACCCGGCGGATTGACCGACTCACGTGTCCGGTGGCGAGTAGGACGCTTTCCGTGACCGTCGAGCTGCACTCGTACTACGAATGTGACCGGCATGTGGCGCCGCGTGATCCGTGCGAGCGCAGGCTACGCTGCTTCGATGATAGGTTGGGGGAGTGTAACTGGAAATAGCGCTGTATCCTGTAGCTCTATGCTGCAGACGGTCAGTACATGCTTGTTACACAATTAGTAAGGTCCCTACTAATAAACGGCGCCGCGATGTTAGCGCAAAACTGTAACGACGGTTGATGCTTTCTATGAACTCGAAGACGCTCGCCCTCTCGTGACTAGAGTTCAGCGGCTTGCCCCGTGAGCGCCGCACGTCGGCTGCAGATGCGTTCGAATAGCAGTGCGCGGCGTGCTGCGTGCGTGACGTGCGGCGATGCGTGGCGTGCTGCGGGCGTGCGTCCGGCGTTCGTGCGTGCGCACCAGTGAGTGCGTCAACGTGCTGTTACGATGCTAATTCCCCGCCTTCATCACTCCTCCCTCACCGCTCCGCGATTCCTCCTCTTGCAGCGCTGAGGAGGCTGCCTGCTTCTCCTGCCCGCAGTCCGCGGCTCTTTCGACTGATCAGGACGTAACAAGTCTACGCAAGTGCGACGACGGCAGGGGCGCCACATGATGCCTACCGGAAACAGAGTCTCGACCCCGTGTTGAAGATCTGACAATTGGCCGGATGTGCGAGCAGGCGCGGTGAGAGGAGGTGGTGTGCTGGGTTTTGCGGCGTTGCTGCGTGCGCGCTGCTGCCGTGGTGTGTGGTGTGTGTGGTGGTGTGTACGGCGTGCGTGCGTGCGTGCTGCGTGCGTCGTCGGCGTGCGTGCGTGCGTGCGTGCGTGCGTGTGCCCGTGCGTTGCGCTGCGTGCGTGCGGGCGTGCGTGCGTGCGTGCTTGCGTGTTTTGGTGGTGTGGTGTGGTCGTGTGTCGACGTGCGCGCGTTGCATTAAGTATGTCCGCGCGATCGGCGGTGCGTGCGCGATGTGATGCCGTGTTTGTGTCCGGCGTCGATGTAAGCTAAGCCATATAAAGCAGCTTAACATTTATATATACCGTCTAACATTGTTTATTTGCTTTATATTAGCTTTAGTTTCTCTTGTTACAGGCCGCGAGTTCCGCCTGCCCGCCCCAAGCGCTGTACGCCGACCCGCTGACTGCACCAAGTTTACCATGCTTAAACGGCGCCCCCGATCCAACAAGCGTGCCTCCGGGCGCGTGCCGCTACACTCCACAAGAGAAGAGGCATCTGCAACTGCCCCACGCCTCGCTAAATCACGGTAGCTGCGACGCCTGCTGCGACCGCGTGCGCTGCGTGGTGTCGAATAGAGTTCGCTGCGCGTAGTGGCGACCGGTGTCTGCTGGCGGCTTGTGGTCGATAGTGGCGTGCTGCTGCAAGTCGCTGACTCACGTGTGCTGCGTAATGGCGTGCCAGTAGGTGCCGCTGCGTGGTTACTTTGTTCTTCTGGACTACCTCACCATACCTAGAATTCTATAGTTCTGCGTCGCGTACTGAAGCTCGCTCCCTCGGGCGCATCGCGAAGACACTATTAGCCCACCTTTGACGCTATTATACCATAGAACTAATATAGGAGATAACATAGGGCCAATAATTATATGGTTAAGTAACGTTGTCCGGTTTTGTCATCACACGGCAGTAGCAACAAGCATGTTATCGACTAAACCGTGACACACTCGTGGACCAGTGAACGTCACAGTTTCTATACGGCGGCTATCGGAAACGAAACGTATCGAAATACGTACGTACGGCATATTTACGGAATTGTAATTCTATATAAATGATACCACTATACAACGGAAACAAATATATATTATATTATAAAATATAATAATATATAGCCATTATATATTACGATCTATTATATATATATACTGAGAACACATGTGTCGAATAACCTTGATGCTATATTGAATTGATTTCATGACAAGCGACAGGCGTGAGACAACACAAGCGGACACTCCCCGCCCACCCCCCCGCCCACGCCGCCGTCCACCAGCTCCCGAGGAGGACCAACCCCCCCAGCCGACGCCCCCACCGACCCGCACACGACGCACAGTGCGGAGGAACCAGAGTGGCAAACACGGGGGATCCCAGCGGGTCCAGTAGTGATCCATATATGTAGTGCCTACTACCAGTTACGAATCAAACACTAGTATTAGAAGAATAATAGGACATTATCGGCGTCTTATAACTTATGTGTAATAGCTAGATTCGGCTGAGATTGATGGAATAGTAGTAAGTGGGGACATACGTATGCCGATCCTGCAAGCGCGCCTCTATCAGATACGAACAAAAACATACACTAGAGACACTAGGGGATCAAAGATCAGGACACGCGTACCTACGTATGTTATAGGCATTATTTGGAAATTACTTAATGTCCTGGACATTAATAGTGGGATGCGGTAACATGCGCTATATACAGAGTTACAACAAAACACCATCCACCTATTCGTACTCCATTGCGATATAGCCATAACTACCATTACGATGTCACGGTAATAGGAAAGTCCGTAGAAATGCCAAATGCAAAATGATATTCTACCTACAATGGCGCTGCGAAGGCGCGAATCACACGACCGCGAAACGGCCGCCACGTTCAGTCCGCCGAACGAGCGGCCCGAACATCCGACAGGCGAGACGGCACTGTGCCGGATCAAGCGCCCTCTATAACTCCCATAATCGCCTAAGTTCGGGACTTAGTGTGGAGGCGGCAGCAAAGCCCATGAATTCATCCACGACTGAAGTTAGTATATACATAAAGTTATAATATTATCATTATATTAATATTATATTATCGTTAATATTATATTTATAGTATAGATATATATAGTTATATTAAGTATACCGTTTAATATTTTATTAGTTCTATTAATATACGTGAAGCTATATAGTAAGTAGTATACATATAGAAAGAATCAGGTGATCCACACACGATCTAAACATAGCTCTCGACGTTTAAAATACCGCCAATGAGAAATTTCCATATGACCGTCATTCCGAACGCCGTCGTAACTCAAACACTGTACATCCGGTTGCGCACATGTGACTACGTCGAGTTAGTCATAAGTTAAAACGACGATCGTTCTTGTCCACCTCACGGGTGTAACCTAATTACACTCGTATCCCTTAATTCTATTGTGTTCCTCATAGAATATACATCCTGTATATAATGTCAGTAGAAGCCCCCACGCACGACTTAATAGCAAGCCCAAGCATCTCTCTCTTCTGCTCTCTCGTCTCTTCTGCTCCCCCCTACTCTTCGCCTCTCTCTTCTCGCGCGATCTCTATCTTTTCTTCTCACTCTTCTCTCTCTCTCTCACCCCCTCTCTCTCCCTCCTCCTCCTCGCGTCGGCGTTCTCGTCTTGCTTTCTCTCTATCTCTCCTCGTTCTCTCTCTCTCTCCCCCTCCCTCGCGCTCATCTTCCTCCCTCTCTCTCCGCGCTTCGTCGCACCGCCCCCCTCTCTCTCTCCCTCTCTCTCTCTTTCTCTCTCTCTCTCTCTCTCTCTCTCTCTCTCTTTCACTCTCTCTCCCTTTCCTCCCCTTTCTTTCTCTCTCATCCGCCTCTCTCTCTCTCTCTCTCTCTGTTCCTCCCACATCTCTCTCTCTCACTCACACACCTGTGCGCAGGTACGACTACCTGTCCGTCTATAACGGTGCGTCGACGTCCGGCGCGCTGCTGGGAACCTTCTGCGGCACTCAGCGCAAGCAGCTGACGTCATCACAGAACGACGTGCTGCTTCGCTTTGTCTCCGACAGCACGTACACCGAGCGCGGCTTCGACATTCAGTACGGCGTCGTAGAAGGTACGGGCCCGCGAAATCCCGCGAGATCCCGCGGGATCTCGCGAGAGCTGTGTTTAGGATTTTCTGTCGCAGGTGCAGCAGAGAGGGTTAGTCGGAGGGCGTCGTAGAAGGTAGGCCCGCATTGTCGCTTTCCCTCGGGCGCCATCTCGCGGAATCTCGGGAGATTTCGCGGGACCGGAGCTTCGGATCTCGCGAGAGCGGTGTTTCGGATTTTTGTCGCGAGTGCGGCGGTGGGATTTGTCGGAGGTGCCGACTTCTCGCGGGTTCTCGCGAGAACGATTCCAATTTCTCCCGCCAATAGTTTTAACTTTTCATTCATTCGGTACATTTTTCCCTGAAGTCATTCTTCGCGCTTCCCGCATTAAACCAGAACAAAACATCTCGTCACGTGAGCGTCTGAATCTATTTAGACATCCGCCATTAAAATGCCGATCACACTTTTTTGTGCTGCTCTTACTGTTCTTCTGTTTCTTCTCGCAGAGGACGAAAACCTGTGCAACAAGACGCTTCACGGCGTACAGGGGGCGCTCACGGCGCCTCCAAACTCCGTCGGCAGCGGCAGCTGCGTCACCACGCTGCATCTACATCCGGGCACCTCGCTGCTGCTGGAAGTCAGTGCTTTCCTGCTGCCGGCGAGGCCCGGAGGGGATATGCCCCTGACGGACCTCACGGGGGCCGTGTCGGATGTCGCTAAGCCGTCATGCTACGATGACGTGGATCTGTGGGTAGAGATCCAGGCGGCAGAGAGTGCCGGTAGGTTTTATGGTGGTTGTCAAGAAGTTAATGATATACTCGCTTCTACTCTATCTCTCTCTCTCTCTTTTCTCTCTCTCTCTCTCTCTCTCTCTCTCTCTCTCTCTCTCTCTCTCTCTCTCTCTCTC